GTGAAGAGTTGACTCATTGGAAAAGACCCTGATGCTGGGAGGGATTGGGGGCAGGAGGAGAAGGGGACGACAGAGGATGAGATAGCTGGATGGCATCACCGACTCGATGGACATGAGTTTGAGTAAACTCCGAGAGTTGGTGATGGACAGGGAGGCCTGGCGTGCTGCGATTCATGGGGTCACAAAGAGTCAGACACGACCTAGCGACTGAACTGAACTGATTAAAATATTATGCCTATCTAGATATTTTTAAAATTATTATTACAGATTAAATAAAGCTGTGACTTCAGCTTTACCAATGATGTGCCATCCAATTTCATATAGAAAAGTGCTCTTTACCAGTTCTGGACTACTTCATAGGTCTTGTTTGTTACGACATGCTTCAGCACAGAAAAGAGCATCTGTGACTGGTTGCCTATACACCGCCTGCTATTGGGTTTGAATGATGAAGTATAAAACATTCTTCCTTCTTTTCCTAGCATTTCAAAAAGTTTTTAGATGTTCTAAAATATTTTTATATGCAGAAAGTATAAGAATTATTTATATTTATTAGCAGAAAATATAATATTTTAATAAAAAAAGAATGCTTAAAGTACTAAGATTAATGGTAGAAAAATTATATTGGGAATTATTATAGCTATGCTTTGTCACTTAATTTGATTTAATTTTCATTCAATTAAAAAATAGCTTCGGAAGGACCAGTCTTCACATTATGGTCCTGTTCTTCTGATATCTGATTTACCAGAAGATGGCTGTACTGAAGAAGAAATTAGAAAAATATTTCAACCGTTTGGAAAAGTTAATGATATCCTGATTGTTCCATACAGAAAGGAAGTGAGTTATTTAATCTATTCTAAAAAGTCATAATTTTATTTTATAAAGACTTGTCAGATCTTTCAGCTTTTACTCCATATACAGCTGTTACTTGATTTATGTAAATGTTTGGAATTGAATGAACAGGGTTCCTAAATACTGCTTTATATCCCTTAAAACCACACACTTTTTTTTTTAGACAAGCACACCTTTTCTTTGAAGGGCCAGATGATATTTTAGGTGTTGCATGTCATAGGATTTCAACTACTCACTCTGCCGTACAACTCTGTTTTAGTCCTTAACAGTCATAGATGATATATAAATGAATACTCATGGCTGTGTTCAAAAACTTATTTAACAAAAAAACAGATGGCAGGCCATAGTTTGCCATTCATTGCTTTAGCACTTCAGTGGGGTGATATAAAAAAAATGATTTTGTTTGAACAGTACTTTTTTACATTTGAATTGTATTTCTGTAACTTATATAGTAAAGTTTTATAAACTCTACAAACCTTGGAGTAAACAGAACATGAAGTTAGGAGGTAAAACAAGGGAACATAGTTGGTATAATTTTGTTTGTTGCAAGAAACTTTAAAAAGGTCAAATTTAACAGCAGGTAGACTAGATCCTGCCTGCTTTCCTATTGTTCAGTGAGCCCTGCCTTCCTGTTTCTTACTCTTTTATGATCTTGCCATGGACTGCTTCCTTCTTACCTTTGTAGTGGTATAGAAATTCCATTAGGTTAAATGTCCGTTTTGTGTGTGAAAACATCCTAAAGATCAGATTACACTTTAGCAAGGTGAAAAGAGGTAAAATCAACCAGGACTTGAGGTAATTTCAGTTTTTTTTTTTTTCCATTTATTTTTATTAGTTGGAGGCTAATTACTTTACATCATTACAGTAGTTTTTGTCATACATTGAAATGAATTAGCCATGGATTTACATGTATTCCCCATCCCGGTCTCCCCTCCCACCTCCCTTTCCACCCGATCCCTCTGGG